TATCACCAATTCTAATAAATTTTATCTATTCAATTGACAATTTTCATGAAAAACAAAGTCAAACGGATCAGGTGGAAAATTATACTAATTAAACACAATTAATTACAATTCTCAATAAAACAATTTCTAAGCAATTCTATTCCATGAAATTTATTTTCTTTCCATCCATTTTTTACATTTGCAATCAAACGGACTCTAGGTATAAATGGTCGGAAAGGAAGAAGAGGACTCAATGACGGGATTGAGTACTTTTGCTGGCGTAAGATCATGATTGATTAGCCTACGTTTTGTATGTTTCTTCAAGGCTATAAGTTGGTCGAATATTATTATTACCTGTGAAAGTATCCATAGTTTTATTCAATTATTCACACAATTTGTAAGATCGCATCTTATAATCTTTAAAAGAAAAAAAAAATTGTCGAACATACGCTTAATATTTCTCTAATCGTAGGGCTCAAATGGTTTCAAGAGGAACTTGTTTTCGCGTTTTAAACAACCTAAATGATAATGTTTTTCAAGATACTTTTACATTTGAGGGGGAAAAAAATGCTCTTTTTGATTTGATCATGTCACTAATTAACAGTAAATCTTTCTTACAGAAAACATGACGGAATTGTAAAAGTGTTGCTAAAAATGTCGTTGAATTTTGTCAAATTTTGGGAGATTGGATAGTAAAATAAAAGTTACTAGCTAAATACATAAATTACTTATTTTTAGTTTGACCTATACAAATTATTTAGTCTAAAATATACTCATTTTCATATAATTAAATTTTTTTAAGTTTAGTCAAAGATGAGCGGTTGGACTTCCAAGAGTATTTTTCAATACATTCTATGCATTGCCTTCTTTATGGGATGCAAATATAAAGACTTTTGATTTACGTGAGATTGATGTCTAGTGAATAGATGATTAAGTTTAAATTTCCATCACCAATGAATTCATTTTATAATTCAAATTTAATATCTAATGTATCTTTAATAGGAGAAAGAAAAAGTAATAATTCAAACTTTAGTGAGGTCTCTGTGTCTAGACCTAAAGTGTAGTTATTTTGAAACAATTAACTTATTTTCGCGATAAGATTTCCAAAAGTAATTTAAGTTTTAATGGTTTTATCTCAAAGATTAATCTTTTAATTTTAAAATTAGTTAAATTGATATCGAGTGAGGTATAAGGTTGGGATTGTGTTAAGATTGCGAGTTGTCCACATGATTGAGTTAGAACATGCATTTTTAGTGTAATGATAAAATACATCGTCATTTTATTCTTCGCTACAATAAAACTTTGTAAAAATAAGTAAATATAACTATCACATTCAAAAGCAACTCGAATAATTTGGAGTCTTAGGCAAATCTTTGAGGGATCTTTTTAAAAAATTATCATAAAGAATGATTATCGATAGAATCGCCGAGTATACTTGATGAAAATCAATAATCGTCGTTGATTGGTAGAAACAACAACAATATTATTGATATGTTTGTCAACAATTAACGACAACAATGTTGTACAATTATATCAAGGACCATAGCAAACAATTTTCTGGTTGCATGTTGACGACGAATAAACATTTATTTCTTCTTCACTTTATTTTGTTTTTTTTAAATATTTTCTTATGTGGTTAATTTTTTAAAAAATAATTAAATTTTAGGTCGCATCACTTAGATGGACCTTACAGAATTGTAAAAGTGTCACCTTGAGGGGTTGCCCAATTGGTCAGGTTTTGAGTTTGCTCCCTAATGGTCACCAGTTCGAATCCCCTCAGGGCTACTGAGGTGAGTAGCCGGTTGTAAACTTCAGGATTCCGTGGAATTAGTCGAGGTGCTCGCAAGTAAGTACGGACATTCACGGTTATAAAAAAAAAAAATAGAATTGTAAAAGTGTGGCTAAAAATGTCGTTGAACTTTGTCAAACTACTATTAACCCATCACTGCTTGGGACTTGGGAGATTGGATAGTATTTGTGCTATGTGTGTGAATTCCGTTGCCATGCCTACTTTTGTTCAAGTCAAGGAACGAAATATTATTTAACGATGGATGAAGA